GAAATTACTTTTAAAGACACTAATTAAATTTGTTTAACAGTTTGAGTTAGAATATTAAAATAATATTTATATTACTTTATTATATTAAAAGTAAAAAGGAATTTACCTTTTACATACACTATTACATTGAATAATTAAAAGCATTGATTTTTATAGAGATCAAATATATTAGGTATTTCTTCCAGCCTCTATTATAAGAAAAAAAAGTCTTAAATCTTACTACTATTTAGGGGTGTTCAGATTCAATCCGATCCAAAAACCAAACCGAAAAAACTGAAATCCAAAAAAAACTGAATTTTTTTGGATGTATTTGAATCACCATGTAGCATAACCGACCGGTTCGGTTCGGTTTACGGTTGGTTTCATGAGAACCGAACCGGTTCAAACCGAACCGGTATTAATTCCATTTACTTGCCATTTATTATTTAAAATAACTTAATATCGAATCATTTATAGTCATCCTCCCAAATTAATTATGTTAGCCAGCACTAATTTCTCTAGAGAATCTCAATCATTCCTATAATTTCCCTATTCAGATTCTAAATTATCTTAAAATTAAATACAATGAATGCTATTCATTGTTGTAACCGCAAGAAATTCAATATCGCAAGCAAGAAATTCAATAATGCTAAATAGACATTCATCTCAATTAGTTTTCTGAATTATACTATCAGTAAGCAAGCTTCTTAATTTGTTTGATTTTATCTTTTTTGTACTTTGTAGTTTTGTTCGATCAGATTTTCTAAAGTTATTCAAATTTTTAGCCTTTTATAAAGCTATTCTAATTTGTGTTGTTGAAAGCTTATTTAAAACTAATTTACTTATGTTCTCAATTTTATAACAGTAGCTTACTAAAAATTATTTTCATTAGTTTTCTTATGTGAAATCGTTTCATGTTGGTTACTTGGTTATAACAGTAACAAATTTTAGTTAGTTTTTCATAATTTCTTCAAGGTCTGTTCTTTGTTAGTTTTTCATATTTTGTTTCATAATTTTTTCATAATATATTTTTATTAGCTTTTTCTACAACTAGTTGTTTATACTTTGTTCTAATTTTAAGTTTGATCTATTTTTACAGGAATGAGCCAAACTGGTCCTATTACTCAATCTGATATTGTTAACAACCTTATTCAGGTATCAAAAATTAATTTTAAGTAGAGATTTTTACCTTTAGAAATGTTGGTTACTGTTACAATGGTGTAATATTATAGTTGATGTTCAAAAATTTATTTTTTCATGTGTATTTTATAGGGTGAAACAACTGAAGCTCCACCTCCATTGGTACAAAGTAATGAAACAAACAATGATAAAGAAAATGCTAATAAGAAAAGAAAGACTGGAGAAGCTTCAAAATTGGTCACATCCAATGATCCTAATGTTGTAGCTGGAGATTCAGGTAACAGAAAACCTATTAAACCTAGATCTTGGACTTGGGAACATTTTACAAAAATAGGATCAAGAGCTAAGTGTAATTGGTGTGATGTAACATAGGCTGCTGATTCACAAAGAAATGGCACTAGTAATTTGAAACACCATTTGTTGCATCAGTGTAAGAAGTTTCCAAAAGAGTCTCTTGATCCCACTCAACAGACACTTGTTCTTTAACAATTGAAAAAAGAAGATGGGAATGGATCTGGTAGTGTTCTCACTGGTGTTCATTTTGATGCTGAGGCATGTAGGAAAGCTTTAGCTAGGATGATTATGGTTGATGAGTTGCCTTTTAAGTTTGTTGAGGGAGAGGGTTTTCTTCATTTTATGAGTGTTGTGCAACCTAAACTCTCAATTCCTAAAAGGATTACAATTGCTAGAGATTGTTGGGATTTATACACGAGTGAGAAACATAAGTTAAAAAGTGTGCTAAATAAATCAAATCAATGTGTTTGTCTTACAACTGATTGTTGGACATCTGTGCAAAATTTGAGTTATCTTTGTCTCACTGCACATTTCATTGATCATGATTGGAAAATCCATAAAAGGATTCTGAATTTTTGTCCAATTGTGAATCACAAAGGAGTAACCATCGGCAAAAAAATTGAAAAATGTTTGGAGGAATGGCTAATAGGTAATGTTTTCACCATTACAGTTGATAATGCTAGTTCTAACGATGTTGCTATAACTTACTTGAAAAATACAATGAACGATTGGAATTCTCATCCATTGAAAGGGGAACATATGCATGTTCGCTGTTGTGCACATATTCTGAATCTTGTGGTCCAAGATGGACTAGAAGACTATCATTCTTCAATTAGTAAGATTAGGAATGCTGTTAGATATGTTCGTACATCTCCAGGTCGTATGGATAGGTTTAAAACTTGCATTAAAGAAGTTAGGTTACAAGAAAAATCAATTGTTCAGTTGGATGTTTCCACTAGGTGGAATTCCACTAGGTGGAATTCCACATATATTATGCTTGAAATTGCATTGAAGTTTCAAAAGGAATTTAAGAGATTGAGTGAGAAGTGTGCTAATTTTGTGCTGATGAAAGATGTTATTCCTAATAAAGAGGATTGGGATAATGCAAAATGCTTTGTTAATTTTTTGAAAATATTTTTTGATATCACAAAGAAGGTTTCAGGTAGTACTTTTGTGACCTCTTCTCAATATTTTAATGAACATATTAAGATATTGACTACATTAAACGGGTGGATAGAATTAAAAAGTTCTGACAACTTGCTTGGAATTATGGTTGAAAATATGAAAGTTAAGTATGATAAATATTGGGGTAAGGTTGAAAAAATGAATATGTTGATCTTTGTTGCTGTTGTGCTTGATCCTCGACATAAGATGCAGTTTGTTAGGTGGGGATTGAACAGGGCATATACAAATGATGTTGCTGTATCTTTGTACAAAAAAACAGAGGAGACATTAAATAAAATATTTGAGAGTTATAGGCTTTTCCTTGGTAACAGTCAAACTGAAAATCTTACACATTCCACTCAAGAAGTGGAATTGGTAGAACTTAAAGCACCAGAGGATGTATTTGCTTTAGAGGTTGAGATGGACATGAATCTTAATGAGAGCATGCATAAAAATGAATTGGATTTGTATCTCATGGAGAATTTGGAGAAGAAAGGTCCTGGTTTTGATATCTTGAACTGGTGGAAGGTGAATTCTAACAAGTATCATATTCTTGGTCAAATGGCTAGAGATATATTGGTCATGCCTGTGTCTACTGTAGCTTCAGAGTCCGCTTTCTCTACCGGAGGAAGAGTGCTTACTTGTTATAGAAGCTCTCTTACGCCAAAAACAGTTGAAGCTTTAGTTTGTACACAAAATTGGTGTAAATTTTCCCCGGTGTCGGTGGATATTGAAGAGCTTGTGGATGAGTTAGAAAATTTAGAATTAGGTAATTTACTTATAACTTATATTATTTTTTGTTGAGCATTGTTAATCTTTTATATTGAGTAATATTTATCTTTATTTTTGTAGAACTTGCTCCAATCCCTCAATTGAATGAAGGTGTATCTGATATAGACTCTGATTAGCTGTTGATATCCGCATTCTAAAAGAATTGGGTAGAATTGTGAAGCTGGAGTGGAGCTATTGCAGGATAATTAGAAAATTTGTTATTTGACTATCAATTATGTTGCAGACTCTGATTTTGAAACTATCAATTATGCTGTCATATATAAAGCAGATCTTCTCTCTATATATAATGTAGTTTGTCATATTATTATTATATATTCCTTGTGATGCAACTTTCGCATGTCCACTGTTATTGATATTTTTCTTGAAGTTTTATTATTATATTCGCTTTAATATAGCTTTAGAATCTTCATTTGTTCACTGTTTTATATATTTGTTATATATTTAATTTATAATACAAATCTCCATATAAGAACTAAGCATATCTCCATATATATTATATATTATAGCCATGTCTATTTCGTTGGGATAGATATTATACATATATTATAATGAAACTTTGCAATAATGACATCAAATAGTCATATGAACATAGCAATTAGATATTGTCTCAGTAGACGTTGGTGGCATAATTGTAACTGATATTGAAATATATTCTTTTTAAATTTCTAAATAGTGTTGGTTTAAAAACCGAATAAAACCGATTCAACCGAACCGAAATAAACTGTATAAATTGGATTGGATTGGATTGGATTTTTCTTGTTGTCATCCAAAAACCGAACCAAACCGTATGCTTTATATATTTTTGGATCGGATGATATTTTGTCTCAAAACCAATCCAAACCGGACCACGAACACCCCTACTACTATTTACTATTATAACTAATAATTATTCTTTAAAATTAAATAATATTTATATTACTAATATATCATTAATTTAATTTAATATAATTAGTTAATTCATTAAATATAATTAAAGATATTATAGTAGATTTTATTTTAATTGTACATACAATTAAAAAATTAATTATATTTAATTAAATTTTTTGATTAATCTAAAATGATTATTTTATTTTGTAATTGTGAGTAGAGAAAGTATTTAACAAATTTAAAATTAGTATCGTTTAAATTTTTATACACCGATTATGAAATATAATAATATTATTATAAAATATTATATTTTTATTAAGTTAATGGTATAAATTTATTGAAAATAATATACATAATAATATTATAATTAAATGACACAATAAAAAAAATAATAGTTACTTATATATTGTAAAGTAAGAATAATATTTGTTTTAAACCAAATTTTATTTAAATGACCATCAGTATTTAGTAATTAGTAGTAGTATTTAACCTATGCTTTAAGTTATGTTTATAAACTATTTTGGTATGGCCCCACTAAATCAAAACCCATTACCCAAGAATCTTAATCAATTAATCATGAGGCGCATAAATCAATACTACCAATTCACATCCTAGTATCGTCCACAGACAACCAAACCCCACCGTCAGCAAAAACCACATAACTCTCCTCTGCCACACTTTTCTTGTGCTTCCAAATTGTTCCAAAATTCAAAACATCACTTTCCAACAAACAAACCTCTTTCCTCACCCATTTCCTTAAAGCTTCAACCTTTACCACTTTTTTCACCAACTTTATTTTTTACAAGATGTCTGACTGGGCACCAGTTGTTATCGGAGTGGTGTTGTTCGTGTTTCTTCAACCTGGGTTGTTGTTTTCGTTTCCGGGAAACGGAAAACAGCTTGAATTCGGTGGAATGAAGACAAACGGAAAAGCTATATTCATTCATACGCTTATTTTCTTTGGTCTCTATGCTGTTATCATCTTGGCTCTTCGTGTTCATATCTATACCGGTTGAACCGGTTTCATGGATCTGGTTTTTTTTATGTCTCTTCATCTTTCTTTGAAGAAACTGCATCACTGTAATCTTTTGTTGTTGTAACTGTTACCTTCGAATCGATCGAATGAATGACAATAAAAATTAAGGTTGTTACTTCGGAAAAATTCGTAGATCTGATCTGAGATGGTTTTTGTTGTTATTTAATTCTTGATTAATTTTAGTGTAATTTTGGTTCATAAATTGTGCAGATGAATGGTTGGTTTAGAATTAAGGGTTTTTATTTTAAGTGCTTTTTTAACGTTAAATAAGTGGTTTCTGTGTAGTTTGATTGGGCTTCACGGTGCGTTGGTATTACTCTGTTATAGATTTTTGTGGTCACGTGGGTGTACTCAGGTGTAGTTAGAATCTCTGAGCTTTGTGATCTTATTGTTTGGTTCAAATTTAAGGAAATTATTTTTTTAATAAATAGTCCATTTAGTTCTTAAATTACATTCTTACTAAATTAATTCCTAAATTTTTAAAATTAGTTAAAAATTACAAGGTTCCTCGAGTAATCTACCGCTATATGTTAATTTGTTATTATTTTTTGTTTAAAAAGTGTAAAATTATGATGCTGAAAAATTGCACACAAACCTGATCTTACAACTTGTCCTCAAAATTGAAATTATCTTTTATAGTATTTCCCTTTGCTTAATAAAAAAATACTTTTAAAATTGTAATATTAGCATGTATTTTCTAACAATCTCTGAATGATGCGAAACACCTAAACTCGATATATATATATAAAATAAGAGAAAAAAGATTTAAATATAAATTATTATATAAATATTAATTTAATTTATTAAGTTGTAATAATGGTTAGGATATACAAAGAAATTATGTTGAAAAATATATGTAAAATCGATTATTTATCTGTGCGTTTGTATGAGTCGCATAATACTGTTATAAATGTGCAATGTCTGCGTGTCCACCTCGTCCCGCACCTATGATTTTGCAGGCAGGAAAAGATTTTAGAACACATGTGTCAATTTTTAAAAAATATATGTCACTTATTTTCGTTTATGAAAATAATTGTATCTAACATTTGACTTTTTCTCGTTAATAAAAATATTAATAATTTATTCTCATTTATAAAAATAATTGGATCAATAATTAACTATTTTTTATTTATAAAAATAATATATCATTGAAATAAATTAATTATTGGAGAAAAAATATATTTTTAAATAAACAAAATAAATATTAAAGGATAAATTAATTATTAGAGAGATTATAAAATAATATATTATTGAAAGGAGAGATTATGAAATAATATATTTCTGAAGGAGAGATTATAAAATAATATATTATAAAAATATTATGTTAAGAGTCAATTTTCTTTAAAAAAAGTTAAGTGAAGTATACTATTTTTCTATCAATATTAGATATAATTAGTAAGACGGATACTTTAAAATAGAGAGAAAATTTTTAAAATCTATATTTTCTCTTATTAAAGATTGTTTTATTATTCAAGAATATATATATATATATATATATATATATATATATATATATATATATATATATATATATATATATATATATATATATATATATATATATATATATATATATATATATATATATATATATATATATATATATATATATATATATATTGAATATAAAAAATGTTCTGGATTGGATCTGTACTTGGCTTAAACATCATACAAGGCTTAATCCGACTGCGTTACGTGGGATAGTCTGCCGACGAGACTGTCCTCGACTAGCTCGGGCGGTAACCTCACTCTTCTGGTCGACATGATTTTGTCTTACAGGGACAATCCCAGGAATGACGAGGAGGGCCTAGGATGATCAAGAGGACCTCGCAAGCATAACCCACTCTTCTTGTCGACCAAGACAAGTCCTCCGGAGACAACCTCACAACTCGCGGGGAGGCTCCACAACAGACAGAAGTACATCGCGAGCATCCTCCTCGTAGGGGTGACTCTCAACACCTCTGAATATCACGAAGTCCTCCTTGCCCCGAGAAGACCGCATTCATATTCTCCTGATAGTTCGGAGGAGTCTATCCAGATTGGGGATCACGTGTTGGTCCCCACTACGCACGTAGGACCTGGCAGTCTCCATTTTGGGTCTGCTTGCCTAGCCCAAAGATGGGGACCTTGGCCCAGCGCTGGGGGCTATAAATACCCTCTCACTTGAGATGATTGGATTTTCATTCTTTCATACTCACTCTCATACTTGCTTGCATAGCTCCGAACCTCACTTTGGCATCAAAGTGTCTTGCAGGTACCCCCCACTTCACATTCAACCGTTGCTCGGCTCGAAGCTTGTGGGCTTTGAAAATCTCTTCTGGTCAGGTATGATCAGTGGTGCCATTTATGGAAATCCAGCTTCCCCGTCTCCATCCTAAGACTTGATCTTACCGGTGATCAGAACTTGTGAAGTGGCCGGAAGATGATCTATAGTCGAGCTGTGATGTCGAGGAGGAAAAAGAGGGTTGTAAGGAACTCCGACAACCAAGTAAGAGTGAGAACAAGGAGATACAAGCAAAGTGTTAAGGTATTAGTGGTGAATAGTGAATTTTCGATACCTGGCCCTCACACGTGTGAGGGGTTTATATAATGCCCCTGGCGCATGGCTATTGGTTCCTGATTTCACGCCTGGTTATATGGGTCCATAAAATCAGGTAATTGACAGGACTTAGTCAAACCGGGAAGATGTGCCCGTAACTAGTTCTAAGGAGGGGGCGAGTTATGGGTATCTCTCTGGTTGGTTCCTGGTGGCCTGCACGACGTTGATGTCAGACAGGCTGATAGGATGCTCATCGATCATCCTAGGCCAGTGCTGGCTTGGGAGGGAAAATGGTCGATATTGCCCGACGGATAGTGGGAGGTTTGGGTCATAGACGTGCGGGCCGTGTCAAAGGAAAGGTCTAGACTGGGCCCATTCAAGCTTTCGGGCCATCCCAAAACAGTAGCCCCCCAAGTCATTGCTTATGGGTACAAGAGTTATGACTTTAACACCTGTTCGTGGAATGGGGCGCGTCTTACGGGGAAATGAGCGTTGCCTGTAAGACCCCAATTCTATCCGACAATTATTATATAAATCATAGTTATAAAGTTTTGACAACCAAATCGAGATGCTACAATTTCAACTTAAAACAACGACATTCATTAAAGATACATAACACATTAAACTTGGGTGAATCAACAACAACATAAATTAATCTTTTAAAAGCAACAATTTTCATAATCACACAGCGGAATCAAATATTCAACTTAAAGAATATAACATCTTTATCCAACTAAAACAACTTCAAATAACAGTTATTTAACGAATAGCAGCTTAAAGTGCAACAACTGAATAACAACAACAATAAAATAGTAAGCGTTCATCCCCTCGAGTGTTATGTATCAGAGCAATCATACCGACTCGAACTACTGAAGGTAAACCAAATTCACTCTGGATTACCTGCACGTTACCAACATAGGGGTAACATTCAAACAGAAGGGGTGAGATATCAAACCATATAATAGAACGTATGATAAATAAAACATTAGAATCAGTTCATACATATTCACCACTTCTCATATTTTAACAACATAAGCATAATCAAATCAACCACGCAACGACTCAGAATGCAACACAGAATGCAACTTGTCTTTATGCAAATGCATGTGGTACTAATGGAGTAAAACTTCCAACTTAAAAATCTGCCAATAAATAGAGGCATCAACAAGGCATAAGCCTTCAACTTAGTATTTTTGCCAATCCAGGCCAACTTACCGAGCATCAGCTCCAACTTGATATGCAATGTATGCGACACAACATGAATGTAGCAACAATAACAACAAACAACAACTTAACATAAATCAACATTGGCCATAAGCATACAACATCAGCAACAATTCAACATCAACTCAACATAATTAAACTTTGGCCATAATCCTACAACGTTATATCTGCCAACATTAGAGGCATCTCAACATAATTCATCAACCTATAAACTTTCAATTAAGCACAAACTACAGAGCACACTCTAATGACCAAATCAACACACACGAGCAATAGGACTAGGGAAACTACGTACCCCTCGATATGCACAGCAACCAAGACAGAATAATAACTAACTCATACTCCTCGACACGCACAGAAACAAAGAAGAATAACAACTATATTATGTTCCTCGGCACGACCTGCACCCTAATTTCGCTCGGCAATCCAACACATATGTTCTCTGACACACCTCGCAGCCTAAATGTCGCTTGGCACCTAGCACTTCAGTATACTCCCCAATCACTAATTTGGACAACATCACAAAACAACACAACGTCATAACGACCACATCAAAACAATTCATAACTTCCGACCAATTGCTCGGAATACCACAGTAACGGGCAACTATATTTCCTATCAACAGATTCGTTAATTTTACAAAGCAGTCATGCAGAAACTCTTCTAAAATGACCACAACAACAATTCCTAATTTCCTGCCAACTGCTCGGAACACCACAACATCATAACGAACATAACACCCAGTGATAAACTACCCTAACCTAATCATCGATTCTACCGGGCAATGTTATAGACAACTCAAACTGCCCACAACCTAATAATCGTGTAACTTCCTAAAACATGTTCTTTAATTGCGCAAGACAGTCGTACAATAACTTCCTAAACGACCATGACCTAAGGTAACAGGTAACTTTAATAACAAATTCAGAATATCAACGTGCAACAGTCATAAATACGACCAGTTCCCACATAACCATCATCATCAATCCCATTATAAGATCAGAACCCCACCCTTACCTGGATTAAACGTCGCTCTACAAAATTTCCAGCCAACAACCTTGCTTTGTTCTGCTCGACATCGGGCAGCTTGCTCCTCTCTTCGTGTGGTTTCACACGGTCAGCACACAAGACTTCTTATTCTCCAAAAACCAAACCCTTATGTCAGTTTAACCTTATATCATCAATTCTATTGGGCCTAACCTACACGCCCCCCATTTTACCACTTCCAATCGATAACATTAGCCCAACATAATTATTCTATTAATTCCAACATTAGT